GGCAGAGTTGGGGTGCTATGTGGAATCAGGGTGCTTGGCAGAGTCGGGGTGTTGGGCAGAGTTGGGGTGCTATGTGGAATCAGGGTGCCAGGCAGAGTTGGGGTGCTGGGAGGAGGTGCCCTGTGCTTCCCCGGCAGGGCTCCCTGCCCTGGGCGGGGCTGGCGTACACGACTGACCACTGCCCTGCCTCAGTTTCCCCTCTGTGCGGACTTCCAGGAAGCAAATTCCCAGAGCCGCTCCCCTCCTCCCCACCCCTCCAAGAGCCGGGGCAGCAGTTGGGGGCGACCAGGAGACCCCCCTGCTGGGAGCAGCGCTGTCCCCACGCAACGGCCTTGCCAGGCGGCCGGAGCGGGGGGCGGGGGGCAAAGGCCTCCAGAATGTGGGGTCCCCCCAGGGGGGGACAGCACAGGGCAAGGTGGCGGGGTCTTGCTGTGCCCCCTGGCGGGGGGGGCGGGGGACGTGGGGCTGGCGCATGTCCCCCACTCCCAGCCTCCCCCCGCTGCCTCCACTCGCGACTCCCGCAGCCAGGCGGGTGCGGGCTGAGCCGGGCTAATTAATGACTCTGTTATCAGCCGAGCGCTAATTACTCTTCTTAATCGGGCTGCCTGCGCGCCTGGAAGCTCCGGCAGTCGCAGCAGGGCTGGGGTGGGGGGGGTGGGGACGGCAGCCATGACCTCATCCCTGCTCAGGCAGGAAGGCCCCAGCATCCCCAGAGCTCTCCCGGGGCGGCCGCTGTCCCTGCAGCCACCCGCCACCCTTCCTGCCCCGGCGAACTCCTACTTTCTCTGCAACACCCCACCCAGGCGGCCCAGGCCACAGAGGACGGACGCGCTGAGCGACCCAGCGCTCCCGAAGCCCCCAGGGGAGGGAGCGCGCACAGACGCCCCCCAGGGACACAGGGACAAGGGTAGCACAGACGGGGAGGAGAGACACACGCAGGAGGCCTGGCCTCTCCGGCCCCTGGGGCTTCGTGTTGGGCAGAGACGTTATCTCTGTCGAAACCGTATTAAGCCCCAAGCCTGTGTCCAGCAGTCTCCACTCTGGGGACATTTCCAGATAAGTCTTATCTGGAGGCTGCTGCATCAGCCGGGCGGGTTGGGGACCCCACCAATCCCAGCCGGCCCCCCGGCCCCGGCCCCTGCAGCCCTGTCCTCTCTGAACATGGGCCTGCGGCCGCCTGGGGGGGGGGCATGGAGCCGGGGACGGGGACACAAGCGCCACCCCTCTGCCCCAGCCGGAGCTGGGCGCTGGCTCCGGCTCCTGACCCCCCTTCCCTGCCTTCAAAGGCTGCGCGGCCCGGCCTGACCCCGCTGATGGGCACTCGGGTTTCCAGCGATCCCGGCCCGATAGAGGGTGGCCGGCGGGGGACATTCTCGGGCCACCCTGACCAGGCTGCCCCTCCTCTGCCTGAGCTCACCTGCCGCCCGGGGCTCTGGGGGTGCCCTCTGCCGTCCCGACGTGGGGACGGAGGAGGCGGGTGGCTGCGGGGACCCTCACGGAGGTCGGTTCGGGGCTGTGCTGTGTCACTCCCTAAGAGGTGACACTTCCTTGGGCCCTTCGCTGCCTGGCGGGAGGTGTCTGGACGCACTCCTAGGCAGCAGCTAGAACCCGGCCAGCGGTGCCCGCTAAGTCCCGCCTCTCCAGGGTGACCCTACGGAGCACCCGCTTTTCTTCTCCCCATTCCGCACCTGGGGACACAAAGGCACAGAGGTTGGGGACCCGCCCCCCCAAGTCACACAGCCAGAAGGGAGAAGGGCAGAAGCTGAGCTCCGGGGGTGACTCCGACATCTATCCGTGTCTGCCCTCTGGGGACATGTGGCCCCGGGGGGGTCCTGGTGTCGGGATGGGGGAGCGACCCCCCTAGTCTGCTCTGCCCGATGCTCCCCAGCACCCCGGGGGGACAGTCCCAGGCCCACAGATGTCCCCTCTCTGGACTCAGCTGCCTGGCGCCCCCTTGTTCTCACTCAAGACCCGGGACACCCCCAGGAGCCAGGAGCCCAGATCCCCAGGGGACGCCCGCAGCCCACGGGGCTCTGAGTCCCGGTCCCCTCCCCCGCCCTGGGACGTTCCCCTCCGAACAGACTCGGGGGGTGGGGGGCTCAGGGCCCCCCGCGAAGCGGAGAGAGAGAGGCGCTCGCGGAGCGGGCTGGGGCCAGGGGACATTTATTCGAGGCCTGGGGGACAGGGGTGGGGAGAGGTGAGGCCCACAGACGGCCAGAGGCCGGGGCCGAGTGGCAGACGCCGGCACCAGGTCCCCCGGCCACCGCCCTTTCCTGGTGGCTGCCCCGGGGTGGAGAGAGGGACAGAGCCTCCCGGTCCTGGTGACATCCCCCTCCCCCCCGCCTGGCCCCGTCCCCTGCTTCTCACCGGGCCTGTGGCGCAGCAGCCCGGGCCGGGCCGGGCCGGGGCGAGGAGGCCCCCCGAGGAGGTCGCCGGGTCTCAGGGGGACTGGACCATGCGCTTGTGGGGGTCAAAGACGTAACGCTTGAAAGACAGGCTGAGTGTCACGTGCTGGGTGGCCTCCGCGCGCTCGGCACCCTCCTCCGGCCCGGCCGCCTCCCCGCGGCCCCCGCGGCCCCGTTTCTTGAGGGCGGGCGTCAGGATCCTCCTGGACTCGGGGCTGAGGCCACCTGCAAGGGACAGAGCAAAGCCTGTCGCTGCCACACCCCGGGCA